ATGGCTTTACTAGTGACACGCCCCCTGGTCTAGACTCGAAATGTTCACACCGGGAGCTCTCCAGGCCACTCACCCAGCGATGCTCGTGGGGAATCCAAATACAGACTAAATGGACGGGCTCCGAGAACTGCCACCCACCGCCAGGGGCTGGCACTGCGGCCCCCACAGAAGCTCAGTTACCACAGGGCTGGGAAGATGAGCAGAGTGCGGGAGACATTGCAGACCCCAACTCCCTGCCACGAGCCTCTCCACCCCTCCAGTGGTGGCCGACCTGCGCTCCCTGCGATCCCACTGCGACTACCAGTCTTCTACTTGGTTAAGACAGTTTTGTATCATTTTGCTAAAAATTACTGGCTTAAATCTGTGTAGATCTGTCTTTTTATTATTTTTCTCTTGTCTGTTTTTGCGGTCTTAAAAAGGATGTTGACTTTAAAGACTCCTGAGACAGACACTGGCTTGCCATGTCTGTGGAGTCAGAGGGGCACACGACATCAAGGTGGTGTGTGCATTCTGTTTCTGTTTTCTGTGTTGTGTTGTCCACTCTGGAGAGGGAACGTCTCATCAGACGCTGTGTGTGCGTGTGTGTCTGCGTGTCACAGGCCTCTCAGCCCAGTTCTGGCCTTGCTCACCCTTCCTTTCTATAAGCTGAAATACCTGCTGTTGTCAGCGCACTAGAAAGTGTGGCTACTGCAGAGCAAGTGTGGCCAGTGTGTTGCGTAGAACGTTGTGCCTTTCTGCCCAGAGGAGGTGAGGAGGAAATGAGGGATTCTGAAGAATCGGGCACAGGGGCCTTTAGAGGCCATAGGACAGTGGGTAGTCTGGATTAAAGTTGTGTGTGTGTTTCTGATTTCTGACTCAGAGACATAGGGGTTGTGTAGGGGGTTGTATATGGTATTTTGGTAGTGTTTGTTGCCTTTATGCCTTTGAATTTGGGAAGTCTCTGAACAGACTGTAAATACTGCCATACAGATTGGCACTTGGTCTGTCTTTGCCTGCTAAAAGCCTGGGAGCAAATAGTCCCCCTAGGTGCCAAGTTTGCCCAGAAAGGCTACCGGCTGAAGGGAGTCCACGCAGAGGTGCCAAGAGGCAGATGAATGCCTGCCTAAATCTAGAACCTTCACCTCCAGAAAGATGTGGTGCCACACACTTTGTGACCTTCAGCTGGATGTCAATAGGGGACACTGTGACTGCCCAGGAGAGGCAGCTTCTGCAAGATGACCTGCCAGGAGGGCCATGCTTCTCTGCCACTGGCAGTTAGGATCCTCAGATGCTCTTCCCTGCCTGTGACTGCTTGAGGGAGACGGCAGCAGGCTTGAGCAACCCTTGGAGACGTGATGCAGTGTGTGTTCGTAGGCTTGCCTCCGTTTCTGCCTGTCAGTGTGGAGAGCATTCTGCTGGGGTCAGGGTGCTCTTGGAGGGGCTAATGGTGCCACTGTGGCTTCCCCCTCCTAACTTGGAGACACCCCTCACTCCCTGGCACAAAGCTTGGGCCCTGGGGCCACTGTTGGTATGCAGTCCCAGGGTGCATACCTCTGGGAGCATCCCAGGGTGTGGCCATGTGCTCTCCCAGCCATCTGTCTGTCTGAGCCTGTGGATGCTCCTGAATCCTGAGCTGGCTACTCTGCACACATTTGGGGGTGTAGGGCCTTGAGCAGGAGGGCTGTGTGTCTGTGTACATTAGGAGCTCAGGTGGGTCAAACAAGGTTGAGGTGTCCATGGTTTTGAGCCCCTTCCATCATCAGTGTTGGGCCTTCCCTCTTGGTGAACTGGTGGGGGTGGAAGCAGCCCTACACACAAGCCCTTTGTAAATAACCATGGTCCCCAGCAGTGCCAGAGGGTGGTGTCAGGCAGCCTCTAGATACTGCACCACATGCAGCCTGGAGCTGCTGGCTGCTCTGGGAGCAGACCCACCTGAGCCCTTGAGTGTGTGGCTGTGACGTTCTTGCCCAATATTTAATCCTCATCACACTTACAGGAAACATAGTTAGAATGTGTGTATCAACCTGTGTCTTGGTGACCAGTCTCTGAGCTGTGCGTTTGTACTACCACTGTATTTGTGTACTTTAACAATTGTGTAAATAATAAATTCATAATGACTTCTACGTTTCTTCCCTGCCCCTTTTGTGTGGTCTTTATTTCATCAGCTGAGAATTTTCAGTGGGTTTGGATTAATTATGTGTAAATTGACCTGTTTTTCTCCTGGCCTTTTTGTCTTTTGTGCTACTGGGGATTGAGCCGAGGACCTTTGTAGTGAGGTACATCCCCAGCTGTCTTTTATTTTGAGACAATATATTGCTAAATTATCCTAGCTGGACTTGGAACTTTTTTTTTCTCGGTACTGGGGACTGAACTCAGGATTTTGCGCTTGCCGGGAAGGCCCATATGCTAAGCTATCTCCCTGGCCCATCAACGTAAGCTCTTGTGACCCTTATTCCTCAACCTTCCAGAGTGCTGAGATTTACAGGCAAGCATTTTCCACAGCTGGCTGAATACTTTGTTCTTATCCTTGCTCAGCCTGTGGGTGTTTGGTAGCTGGTTGGAGCAGGCACCAGGATGCGCCCCACTTAGGCTCTGGTCTACATAGGTGAGGTCGGCCTAAGTGTGTTGTGTATGTTTGTGAGAACTCACCCCTTGCTTAAGCATCCTAAGAACATAGGCCCCAGGCTGTGTATCCTCCTGAGTAGCGCTGGTGCCCTAGATTTCCTAGAAAGCAGGTGGCAGGAATCAAGCAACCTGACCTGTCCACCTGCCAAGGAGGGCAACTGCCCCCTTACTTGGCTCATGTCACCTTTTGGCAAAGCTTAGCAACCTGCTCACCTTGGCTCCTCACAGGAGCAAGCAGAGAGCAATAGGTTTCTGCAGCCAGGTCTGTACCTGCTGCCTGGGTCTGCCCTCTCTCTGGGACACTCATCAGCCCTTGAGTGCAGCAGTCATGGTCCAGGCTCACTTGGAGGTTGTTAGAGTTAAGAACAGATCAGCCCTGCATGTGGTGCACATGCTAGAGAGAACTCTGCAGCATCTCCCTACACACACTGCCTGCCTGCCCCTCTGGGCATTATTAGGCACCCAAGCCAGCCCAGCTTTTTTTTAGAGCTCTTTTATCCATCCTATCCCTGGATATCCCACATTGGTTTCCTATCTGTCTCACTGGAGAAGCTGGCAAGGATCTATCAGTCTCTCGTGCTGGTGGTAGAATGCCATGCCCTCGCCAGCTCTGCCCATGTCAGCACCTTCCTCGGCCCACTGTATTCTCATTTCCTGCAGGAAAGTTCCTTGCTGTCAGGTGCCAACCCTACAAAGGGTCCCCTTGCTGGAGCTGAGCTAGAGCTGGCCTCTTGCACCTGAGGCTGCTAGGTCACCTCCTGTTGGACATGGTCAAGGCAGTCCTGTAGGTCTGGGCACTGCTTCCTGGGAGCTCCATTCAGGACTCCTCCCAGGACCTTTTCTGGGTTCCATCCAGCTGATCCCAGGTGTTCTGTGCAGATGCCTAGCACTGGCCAGACCACCTTACTTTTGGTTATCTGTAGCAGCAGGCAGTCAGATATGAGGACAAGGATAGCTGTACCATCCCCCCCAGCCCCAAGCACAGGATAGGGACAGCAGCCCAGGATTCCTGTCTTTCCATTCTGGCTTGGGGAGGCATATCTGGACCCTCATAGGCCTATTTGGGAGGGGTCTGGATAGACATGCCTCTCTGGGACACGTCATAGGGTTGGACCGTTACAAAGAGTATGGACTTTGGCACCTGAATATAGGGCAGTCCTGTCCTGGCCATGCCCATGCCCTGGCACCCCAGTCTTGCCCTGAGCTCCCAGTGGCCTCCTGTGGATCTGGGGAGCCCAGGGTGCTACAACCAAGTGGTGACCTCACCATGCCACACAAGTCTGAGAGCCTTCAGGGCCATGCTGCCTCTCCTTTCAAGGTGGGACCCTCCCTGTGAAACCATAGCCAGCTTCCCAGGAGCAGGCCCAATATCTTTACCATCTCAGAATTGCTTGTGGCCCTAAAGCCTGCCTTGGGGAATCACCATTTCCTGCCTATTCCATGTTGACCAGCCATGTGTTCTGGGTACAAGCATAGCACAGGACCAGGAGAGGGGGGAATCCTGCTCCTGTGTGTGAGGTGGGCTGTTAGCCAGGTGAAGGATAGCCAACCGATCAGGTCACGTTCTTGGGCTATTCCAGGAATATGCTCCATGCTGGCGGCCACACCAGCATAACTGCCATGGTCAGTAGGGCCAGACAGATCTGGAAGTAGATCTGGGGGTCCCAAGGGCCCTGACCAACAGAGGTAGCAAAGAATGGGGAGGAGCTAGTCAGGTATTCACTGAGGCCTGACACTCCTGTTGAAATGCCACTATTACACAGCCTTGTCCCTTTCCTTCCTATTTCTGGAAGTAGCCGATTTCCATGTTGGGGCCCACCACATCCTGCGGCCTAAGGCTTCTACTGTTCCCACACTATATAGTGAGTCCGTACACAGAGCAGACCCACTTAGGATGTGTGTACTTTTGTACACCAGTGTTGGGCAGTGACCCCTTCAGGTATCAGCGCTGCTTATCAGCGTAACCCCTAGCAGAGCCCAGAGGGGAGGCATCATCTAAGCAATAGGCTATAGGTAGGTGCCTGGGCTACACAGTTGCCCGACTTCTTTAAAGAGCTGGATGGGATCATGGCCCAACGGGGCAGAGTAGGTGGACCAAGATGTGAGCTCTCGCCTCCTTTTTATTGCAGAGGAGCAGGGATGTGGCATCTCTCCAGTTGCACATGGCCCGCCAGGGTGCCCGCTGTCGTCCCCAGCGCCCACGACGTACCACCTACTGAGGCACCCCAGCACCCTCTGATCAGGCCGCCAGCCATGCAGGCCACTGCTGGCCACAAGGGCAGGTGGGTGTGAGGTACCTAGAGCCAGCCAGAACTCCGAGTGCAGGCTGGATGGAGAACGGGGAGCAAAGATCAGCGGACACTGACCACACAGAGCAAACTGCCCCGAGAGGTGAATAAATGGAAGGCAGGAAGATGTATCTTTTAAGCCCACATGAAGTAAACAGAGCATGTACATTGTATCTCAGGTCAGTGCATTCAGCACTCTGGCTCCCACAGTCTAGAGACCAGTCAGGAGGTGCAAAACCACTTCCTGGAGCCTTCAGCCGCCCACTGGGCACCCCTCTTGCACACAGTGCCTCCCCTGCTGGCCCTTTTCTCCATGTCCTGTGAATACTCCCTGACAAACAATCCTACCCACTCCAGCCACGGCTGGGCTAGGAGGGCCGTCAGGAGACACTCCAGCACACACAGCTCTGGGAAAGCAAACAAAGACAGGACCACTTGTATGAATAACTATGTTTCCTGATGGAACTGAGACTTGGGATAAACAGACACAGCACGGAACTATATCAGCAAGTCCCTCCATGGCTTAACCCACGCAGGTTACTCTCATACCTTCCCTCCCCGGGTGGGCAAGGGGGGATGGACTCTGCAGGAGAGGGCAGGATGGTGGGGTCAGGCCCTAGGAAGGGCCCTGCCAGCAGTCCTGGCCTATAATTAAAGTGGTGTTGTTTCACCACTTGGTTTCTAGGTCCTTGACCATAGTGGGGCACAGGCTGCTTGGGGTCTGCAGGCTGGGTCCCTGGTGCAGACAGCTTGTAACTGTGGGGCCTGGCTTCACCGCAGATATGCTTTGGAATGACACCAAACAGGTCAGGTGGTAACCCAGTGACCAGGCAGCCAGCACCCCAGCACAGAGCTGACAGTCTCGCCTGAGCTAGTCCTGTTTGTAAAATAAATACATATTGCCAGTCTCTGTACCTTTTCCCTGTATCCTGCTGGCCCCAGCCAGGTTGCTCATACACTGGTTTCTGGAGTATGAACCACCTCCCCGTTTTTCTCAGGCTCTGCCTTCAGGAAGTGCTCCACCTCCCGAGAGTCCACTTGCACATCCACAGGGGGCTTATGGAGTTTCTCTTCCTCCAAGGCGGAGGCTGCAGCCTCGGGCTTCGATACCTCAGGTCTGCTTCTGATGCAGAAGTTGCCCAGCAGCAGCACGAGGGAGGAGGTGAGCACCTCAGCACCCGCCAGGATGAACACATACTTGTAAACATGTGTCGCGTCCAGCAGCTTGCCTGTAAGAGGACCTGGGTCACCAGCTGTGCCTACAGGAAGCACAGGTGTCTCCCGCGGTGCCTAGCTAGTATGTCTGGGAAGTGAGGCAGACCACTGCAGAACGGGCACCTTGCTGACTCAGGCACCACCCACAGAGGCATCCTTCTGCCCTCCCCACTTCCTCTCCCTTCCCCAAGCAAAGGCTGAGAAGCTGAAAACAAGTAGTGTTGAATGTTTGCAGAGTCATGGGGCAGAGCTCCCCTTGCCCAGAGCCTTCCTGTGGTCTCCTGGGGCCCTACAGGGCTCTGTCAGCCCTGTACTCCATAATCAAGGACCCTGAGACATGGAAGGCTTAGGGTACTCTTCCCCCATCCCAGGACCTTGCTGGAGTAAAGGAGGAATCAGAGGCTGCAGGAGGCTCACATGGGGGCTACAGAGTGGGCACAGTGACTTCCCAGAGGCCAGAGCCTGGCGAGGCTGCCCTCCAATGGGAAACGGTAAACTCAGTTGGGCCTAGCTACCTGCTCACTCCTGACACTTGTGGACCCAGTTCTGGGTCCCCAGGAGTGTCCCCAACTCCCCAACAGCACTTACCGCCTGACGGGGGTCCAATGAGCACAGCTATGGCCTCCAACAGCAGCACTAGGCCGATAGCGCTGGAGAACTTGTTGGTACCCACAATGGCCATTAGCACTTCAAACTGCAGGGCACCCACCATGCCATAGGAGATGCCAAAGAAGATGCAGAAGACTACTAGTCCCCCGTAGTTGCTGGCTGTGGAGCCCGTCAGGTCAGTGAAGCCATTGAAGAACATGGCAAAGCTGAAGAGGTACACAGAGTAGGGCCGAACCTTCTTGAGCCCCGTGATAAAACCAGCAGTTGGTCGGGCAAAGATGTCAATGAAGCCCAGGATGGTGAGCAGGAAAGCAGCATTTGTGTCGGGTACACCCAGGTCCTTGGCATAGCTCACCACAAACACAGGTGGCACGAAGAGTCCCAACACCATGATGGAGGCAGCAACAGCGTAGATGACGAAGCCGCGGTCCCGGAAGACACTCAGGTCCAGCAGCCGCTTGGATGACTGCTGGGGCCTGGGCCCCCCACCCGTCTTGGGAGCCACCAGTGGCCTCATGAGCACAGCACACACACAGCAGTTGAGCAGGAGGCCGCCCAGGATGAGGAAGCCACCCCGCCACCCATAGTGATCCTGCAACACCTGCCCCAGCGGGGACAGTGCACACAGGAACACCGGGCTGCCTGCTGCTGCCAGCCCATTAGCAATGGGACGCCGCTTACTGAAGTATCGGTTGAGCATGATGAGGGAGGGCTGGAAGTTAAGAGCCAGACCCAAGCCTGTGGGGAGGGGGTGGTGTGAGACTGCATACCCGGGAGCCCCACCGGAGCCTCCCCAAGGACAGGCTGCAGCTCTGTCCTGAATATTGTTCCTTGTGGGTCTGAGGGAACCCACCAAGGAGCAGGGAGTAAATGGAGCCCCAGCCACCTCTGCTTGTGCCCACCATGCCCCTGAATTGTTCCCAATGGGAAGAGAGGACGTGCCCAAGACATCCTATTTGAAAGCCTGGTGCTCAGTCCACCCCACCCCACCCCCACTGCCAACAGCCAGTGGTCATCAGCCAGCCCCACTCACCAGTAATGACTCCTGCCGTGAGGTAGAGCTGAATAATGCTTGTGCAGAAGGATGCAGCCACCATGCCCAGGGATGCGAAGAGGCCACCCACAAGCATGACGGGCCGGCAGCCAAAGCGGTTCACACACACACTACAGAGCGGGCCTGCAGGGAGGCAGTCACTGGGGTGAGCTGGCCAAGGCCTCCAGCCAGGCTTTGCTCTCCGCAAGCCCACCAGGAGCCCAAGGCTATCAGCCCCAGCCCCACTGCCTGCCAACAGTCACTCTCTCCCAGACACCAGCACACAGCAAGTGTTCCAGGAGCTCCAGAGACCAGGGTCCCAGAGCTCAGGCTGCACGTGGACACTAGAGGCATAGCCTCACCACAGGGCTCATCTGAGAGTACCCTGGTGCTGGTCTTCAAGGATTTGCCATCATTTAAGGAACAGCTCATGGGAGTCTTGTCCTCTGGGATGTCTATAAATACTGCCCACTTGTTTGGCCAGGAGCCAAGGCATGTGTCACCAAGGCCTGTGGGGAACACACTGCTCCCCAGCAGGATCCTGCTTCCAGGGCTTCCCTCTAGGCCTCTGGAACCTGAGATGAGCCTCCATCCATTTGAGCTCCTAGATCAGCCAGTCTGAAGCCCCAAATCCAGGGTCCCACTATGTGAAAGCCCCCACCTGTGCCATAGAGCATGGCCAGCAGGATGGAGGAGATCCAGGCTGTGTCACTGTAGCCAATCCCAAACTCCCGAATGAGCTCCTTGAAGAAGACGCTGACAGCCTTGGGGAAGGCGTAGGAGAAGCCGGTGATGACAAAGCAGCCAAAGAGCACGGCCCAGCCCCAGCCTCCATCTGGAGCCTTGACACCTGTGGGGCCCTCATCTACCACAGCACCTCCCATGGCCAAGAGGGCTGGTTCTTTCTCACCTAAGAGGGAAAAAAAGGAAGTAGGGCTGGCTCAAGTGCCAGGGTGATCATGTAGCCACAGCCCTGCAGGGGATGGGAGGAACAGAGATAGGCCAGGCATACCAGCAGCCTAGGACTGGTACTTGGTCAGTCACCAGACCTCAGCCATGGGCAGCCTGATGGACTGCCCCACAGCCCTTTACCGCTGGCCAGCTCTACCAGCTGCTTGGGGGGCTCCTTCATTTATACCCCACCCTCAGCCTCCTGCTCCCACACAGCTGGCTCTGAAAGGCAGTAGTTTTGGGGCTTAGCCAGGATTAACATCACCTCCTGGGAAGAGCCAAGCCTGCAGGGCAGTCAGTGGGCTGTATGTGCTGATTGCTGACGGCAGCCACACTAGGTGGCGGTGTCCTCTGGACCTCTGCCCAGCTCCGCACAGATGCACACATGGCCAGCCTTGCCCTTGCTCTCCTGCCCCAGGGAAACTTGGCTCTGAGCTGACTGTGGGTCTAGGGCAGGGGTAGACTGGGGTACAGAAGCCAGGGAGCAGGTAAGGTAGGGGCTGCCACTTGTCCCACTTTCCGTGGGTGGAACCTGGCAGCAGCCAGAGCTATCCTTAGGCTCTGGAGAAAAGCTGAGGGCCCAATGGGTTCGAGGAAGGTCTGGGACCAGGGATTCAGCAAGCAAGGCAAGTGGGTGAGGCAGCTTCCGGCCAACCCACTAGAATCTGTTCTTCCTGACCCAGGCTGGCAACACAGGAAGCTGACCCAAATGCCACACAGCCAGGGCTGACTTCCCTTTTTGTAAATCCAGGAGCTTAGCTCATCTGAGGTTGGGGCCAGACTTCTCTCTCCCTGCCCCACTCCCATCAAAAGTCCCCCAATCCCAGAGGTTCCCCCACCTCACCAGAGACAGCTGGGATGAGGGTGGTGTCTGACACCTAGGGCTTTCGGTCCAGTCCGCTTGGCTTCTTCCCACTTGTGGTGGTGTGTGTCCAGCCAACTCACTGGGGAGAGACAACAGTCCTGGTGTATAAAGTTAGCCAGTGCAGCTGAAGCCCAAGAGCCCCCAGAATAGCAGAAATGGCTCAGTCACAGAGCCTCTATGTGTAGCTAGATACTGAGCCCTGAGGTGGAGACCTAGCCTCATAAAGACCTGTTCCTTCAGAGGGACACACTAGAATAAGTGCTTGCCTGGAAAGTACAAGGTCCTGAGTTCAATCCCTGGTACCATAAAAACAAACAAAATCAGAGGGACACACAAGCCTTCAGAGATAGCACCCTACCTCAGTCTGGCTGGGATTATCCAAGCCTGAGATAGGACAGAAAGGCTAGTGGGATAATCATGAGACACCAAGTGGCAGGCAACAAGCATAGGATACTCTTCTCCATTTTAGCACTAAGTTGAAAAGATCCAACCTATGATCCCAGCACTCAGAAGGCTGAGGTAGGAAGATCGCAATGAGCCCAGCCTGGACAATTTAGCCTGAACTTGTCTCAAAACAAAAGGAACCAGCTGGGGGTGGCAGCATACACCTGTAATCCCAGGACTCAGGAGGCTGAGGCAGAAGGATCTGAAAGTTCAAGGCCAACCTGGGCTACACAGCAAGACCTTACCCCGCCACCAAAAAAAAAAAAAAAACACCCCACCAAGTAAATACAATTAAAAGGGCAGCTTGGTTGGTAGAATACTTGCCTTGCATGGGAGGCCATGGGTTTAATCCCTGGTATTAGGGAAACAGGGGAACAGCCCTAAGATTATAGACAGCAAGGAAACTTTGAAAAAAACAGAAAGTATGTCATTTTAGGAACACACATTCACAGTTCACACTTCCTGTGAAACGGAAGGGTGTGACCCCCAGACCCAGGATTTGAAGGATGGTCAGAAGGACAGTGGGAAGATGACTGTCCCCAGGGGCCTCTGCTCGGTTTGGTTGTGGACTTAAAGATTTTGTTGTGTGTACTTTTTAAAATAAATCAAGGGCCGGCCAGATAGCTCAGCAGATTAAAGCACCTGCTTAGGCAGACTCAGGGACTAGGGTTTGATCCCTGACATGCCGTGCCTGCCCCGCCCCCAGGGTGTACAGAGAGGGTGACTTGAGACTGGGCATGGTGGGCACATCCCAGCACTTGGGAGATCACAGGAAGATCTGTGTAGTGAGACCCTGTAGACCCTGTCCTAAATACATAAAAATAGATAAGTAAAATAAATCAAGTAGATACTCAAGGCCCAAAAGTGATGTGTGTCCCAAACCAGCTATAGGAATAGCCCAACTCTGCACCCGGCAAACACAGGTGAGGCATCTAAGGCCTGAATTTCCTACTATACCAGCCATGCCTAGTGCCTGAAAGGGAATCACAAGTCCCTGAAACTTTTTTTTTTTTTTTTTTGCGGAGCCAGGGATTGAACTCGGGTCTTTGCGCTTGCCAGGGAAGTGCTTATCCCACTGAGCCATCTCCCCAGCCCCCCCCAACCTTTTAAGGTCCCTTTCCATGTCCACTGCCCCCAAGAACTGGGCCCTCCCTGGAGGCTTCAGGGTCCATAGAGGCAGAGGATGGAAAGAAAGCAAGGAGGTGGGACATCTGGGATCTTGAAGGGTGGGGCAGAATTGCCTAGTACTCAGCGCAAGAGGGCACAGCATGTTCTGGGAGCACGGGAAACTGGCTGCCATGTGAGGCTCACACAGGGAGAACTACCCATGCCAAGGAGATGTGGCTCCTGGACAGGAAGCTCCCAACTGAGGCAGTCATAGTGGGTGCCAGCTTCCCTGCAGAGGGTGTTTCTCAGCAAGGTTTCCATTTGCCAACAGGGCTGGTTCTAAGCTGGCTGTCTGCCAACATGGCCTGAAGCAGAGGAATCCACACAGCAGGCTGTGCATAGTAAGGGGCTGGGATTTCCTCGAGGGAAATGGTCTCATGAATCCAGCGTGGTTTGGGGAAGGGAGGTGAATGAATCCACCTCATCTTCCCAGGATGACCCAAGCAGCGGTTCTTGCTGATGTCAGGAAAACCATGAGCTGCCTGGCCTGGACCTGGGGAGAAGGCACCCACCGCTGGCTACCCCTCACAGCACACCCACATGCCCACAGCAAAAGGTTGGCCTTTCAGTGACATTTACTCTCCCAGGGAAGCATGTGAACTAGCCCAGAAATAACCTGGCCTCCTGGTTAAAGAAAGCTGATCTGGGGCTGGGGGGTGCCTCTGGGTCAGCAGAGGCTCTGATCTGTTTTAAGGGTTGGCCCTTAAAGGTCCTTTGAAGGTCCTACACACCCCAGCAGCTGAAGCTGAAGAAGGGACAGCCGATGGCAGAGTGCATGAAGACCCTTGCAATGGCCCTCCTGGGAGATGTCCCAGCAGGGGCCGTGTACAGGAGTCCTCTGCCACACCAGAAACTCTCCCCTCCCTAGCTACTACTGGGCCTGCACCATAAATCACAGGAGGACAGTAGGACCCTGAAGCATCCCAAGCCTGTTGGGTGGTTTTCGCAGGTGCTGGCCTTTGTGGCCTAGGCAAGTGGCAAACATGGAGACAATTAAATTCTTCCAGTCACTTTCCAGACCACTGAGGGACAAGAAGACAATCCTGTTGCAGTTTCTCAGCGTGGCAGAGGCAGGAGGGCACACGGGAGGGCAGGCCTGCTTCAGAGCTTCCCTTCCTTCCTCCTCTGGGGTTCATATTGTGCAAAGAGGTCACTAGCAATATGCCTGTGCAGGAGGGAAGGGGGGGCGGTGCTGGGACATTTTTGCACTTTTGGTCCTCTGGGCCCCAGTGCAGACAGCCATGTGCGTGCATGTGTGCATGTGTGTGTGTTTACATCATCTGGGGCCCGTGGGGGGATGCTGCAGCTGAGTCTAGGCTGAGGGGCTGAGGCTCCCAGGGATGTTGCCGAGTGGTGCCTGAGTTTGTTTCATTTGAGACTTAAGCCCTACCCACCACGCAGTGAGTAGCCCTGCGGACGCTCCACCTTGCTATCCAAAGCCCTTCCCAGCAAGGCTAGGGTCTGTGGCCTGGCTCAGTCTACAGCTACCCCTTCCAGCCGCCGAGGCCGGCTGGGCCCTACACAGACTCCCCTTAGAGGCCGCGAGACCTCCCACCTTCAGGGGAGGCCAAACGTCGGGGAGCTCCCCACATCGTTGTCCCAAGAGTGCTACAAGGTAGATGGGGAGGAGGCCGCCGGGAAGCGGGAAATGAGGCCCCGCCCCTGCGCGGCGCGGCCGGGATGCAAGAGGGTCTGGCCGACAGGGCTGGGTAGGCGGTCGTACTAGACTGAGGCGGTAGGGCGGGGGTGAGAGGATGCTCCGCCCTCCCCGGGCAGCCGTGGGACGTGGGGGACGTGACGACCGCTCTGAGGGAGGAGCCGCGCCGTATTGCCTGGAGTAGGCGCCCTACCAACGCTACCGTACCGGCCGTCGTGCTTGGGGTCAGCCAGCCTCTGGACGCCCTTCACGTGGTGGGCAGACCTCTTCTGCCTTCGCTGGCGCTCAAGAACACCGGCTCACCAACCGCAAACTCCTGGACTCGCACCCGGGCAGGAGGTGGGCCTGTGAGGGCTCCCGAACCCTGCACCTCCCATTTTACAGGTGGATGCAGGGCCCAGTGATGTGCTAACTTTGTTGACACTGGAGGAGCTCAGGCACTGTCTACTCCACAGCCTCTGCTCCAGAGCCCAATGCCTTGTGGCCCAGGACCTGGTTCGATGGCACCTCCTGTCGCTCTGCACCACCCTCCCCTGGGGTTCCTTACTGGCCCTTTCCATCCCCAGGACCACATCTGTGAAGGGTCCCACCCATGAGCGCCTCCATCTGCAAGCTTTGCTGGAAGCTCTAAGGTCACCAGAGCCCTCTCCTGGCTGTCCCTACAGCTTAGTGCCCATGCACCTGGTATGAGGGCCATAGCCTTCTGGGTAATCGGCCCTGCTCAAGGTCATACGGAGCGAGTCCACCTTGGTGGCCACTCCAGGCCCTGACCATACCACAGCCCTGGGCAATAAGGCTCTACATCTGGCCAGACAGTGCCCCCTTGGACCTTCTGGGTGCAGAGACCCCACCCACCCCATCTCCTACTGGTAGAGCACTAGTCACTGCCCACCCAGAGGGAGTCCACACTACTGGAACTGCCCGCCATCAGCACGGGCAGACCCAGCATCCACCAGACACAGCCAACTCTCAGGCGCGGGACCCCTGGAAACACCACTCTGTGAGACCAGCCCCAGGTTTGGTTGCTTGGAAAGGCCACTTGCCTTTTGTTGTCCCTCAGACCATACAGTGAGCCTGATTCATGTTATCACAGAGTGATTCTGTCAGCCTAGGGGCCTGGACAAGCAGCCCAGTGCTTTTAGGACAGAAGAACACTGGACCTCCACCCCGCTTATTTGGAGCCAGTCAACTAAGAAGCCCAGAGCTAACGGTTTCCTTCCCTCTGACCTCCGTTGCCTGGATTGCCCAGCATCCAGGTAGGCGCCTCACCCACTCACTTTCAGACAAGGAAATTGAAAGCCCTGTTGGTTTTCCCTCAGGCTGGGGAGCAGCCCAAGCAAGGCTGGGAGTGCCTCGTTTCTAGTTTCTAGAAGGGGTCCTCTAGTTCTGTGCCCCAGATTTGGATTCTTGGCTGTGGACTTAAGGTAGGTGTGAGATGGTGAATTAGGAGAAGAAAGCGCCAAGAGATAACCCCCTCGCTCTAAGAGCCCTGGCCCAGAGCGCACGTGTGCCCCTCTCCCTCAGGGAGACCCACCAAGTATAGCCCTAGCGCCCTGGCGCCTTGGCCCGGGACCGAGCTATATATACTCAGGAAAAACTCCGCCACTTGGCGCGGCCACCTCCTGGCGGGAACCCAGGACCCGAGGGCCGCCCGACGGATGGTTGCCCTGGGAAGGCTGGGTAGCTGGTACCCCTTGGTGGGGGGCACGGGGCTGGGAGGGCTTGCCTGAGCCGGATCGCCCCGAATCCCGAAGAACAAAAGAGTAAGAGCAAGAAGCCGGGGTGCGACTCGGGGTCCCTGCCCCGACACACACACACCGAGCATCCGGGACGCGCCTACCTGCCGCCACTGCCTCTGCGAGCCCTGCCTGCCGCGAAAGCCAGGCGCTGCGCCGGGGGCGACTTTAAGTGCTCTCCCAGCTCGCGCCGCACGTCCCCCGCGCGTCATCGCCGCTTGGCGCCGCCCCCGCCCGCCCCGCCCGGACCCCGCCAGAACCCTGGTCTCTGCTCCCGACGGTGCGCACCGCGGCCGGTCCTGCTCCAGACCTAGGGACGCCCCCTGTTCAGCCTCGCTCTGCCAGTGACCCAGCGCGGACCCAGTGCGGACCCTGCCGCCTCGCACCTAAACTGCCCTCCCCATCGCCTGGGCCGGTTTGTTTCATCCCGTTCCCTGGACCAAGGCTTCTGTCACCGGCTCAGCTCCAGCAAGAGGCTTCTTCACCATCTCTGGATGGAGCCCGATCCCCAACCGGACACCATGGAATCCCACCGCTTAGCACGCCTCTGACCCGAGTGGGACCTACATCCTATCCAACCCTTTGCGCACTGCCGGTGCCAGTACCGGTGCTGGTGCCTGTATCCGGGCTGCCGCGGGCAGCTGCCCGCGGCATCTAGAGGTGGAAGAGCAAGGTTTGCGCACCTTGGGCGGCCTAGGCGACACGGACCACGCCGCTGGCCTCTCTGAACTTCCGTTTCCCCAAATGGCTCGGGGGCCCCCACCCCACCTCCCTGAAAGCCTGATAAAGCCTCTTATCCCTGCCCTGCTGATCCTACTCAGCCCTTCCCTCTGGAACCTGGAGATGGGGACACTGCCCAGGGGGCGGGGAGCAGGGCAGAGGGCTGAGTGCTCCACAGACAGGCTTTCCTGCCGGTTCTCCCACCACTGGAATAATGGAGCACTGTGGGCGCTGAGGCACCAGGGAGTGCTGCCTTTGGCACTGAGGGTCCAGGACCTCACTTGTGCCCAGCCACCCAGCCAGTTTTGCCAGGGCACTGCCCCTCACTGAGCTCTAAATGATACCTAGGAGGCCAAGAGGGAGAACTGAGCTTTAGTGCCAAGAGCCCAAGGTAGCCATGACAGGAACAGAGTGACATCGCTGGAGGACAGTGGGCTATCCACTCTATTGGCCCAGTAGACAATGGGCAGCCAAGTGTCACCTTGGCCCCAGAGCCTGCCAGTTGCAAACCCAAACTTCTGGGATGCTCTGTTCAGTAAGACCTTCCTCCCTCAGCGTCTCCATGAAAAAAACTAGAGCCAGGTCTGACCACTGCCGCCACAAATGCTGAAGAAACCAAGGGCAAAGAGTGCATGAGAACTCGAGAAGTAGGTGAGCAAGGTCTAGAAAACTTCAGAAAGCCCCCCGCAGCTCCAGGGTGGTATTTCCTGTCTCCAGTTATTGAGACTTGGCTTGCCAGACAACCAGGCTGCCCTCCATGACTGCAAGAGGTGTGAGAGTGGGCTGGGAACTGGACTATGGATTCTTTCGGGGCAGAATAGCCCTTAGATGCAGCTGTGTAGCCCTTAGCGTCTACTTCCCACCAACCCTTACCAAAGAACTCAGAGCCACCAACAGGGAGACAGAGGCAGTACCAGGGTGGCCCTGGTCTCCTTACCTTCCTCAGGAGGGCTGGAGAGACACCATCCACAGCCAGGGCTCCTTAGGCTCACCTGGTCACCTGGTTCCCATTGGAGGATTCCCCACACCCGGGCCTCTGAGATCCCTGCTACTCCTGTACATTGACTCTGGGCTTTAGGTGTCTAGGATCCATCCATCATGGCTTTTCAGGGCACCTTCAACTTTGCCTTAAGTTGCCTTGGGCAAGTTGGGAGGTCCAAGCCCTTCACTGAGCTTTCTGGACTTTTTGTCAGAAGCACCAGTGCCGGCTGGCCTCAATTCCCATTCCAGGGCTGGGAGTCCATGGACACAACTCAAGTGGCTAGGGCCCACTAGGCAGTGTGAGAAGGGCCACAGCTTGTCTGCAGCTTAGATATGGTACTGCTGGGAGCACCCAGCCCAGGCTTGGCTCCAGGGCCCAGAGTTCCACAGTGGCCAGCACCCAGCCCAAGGTGTCCTTTTTTGGAAGGAAGGGAAAGAGGTCCTAGGAAGGTGACCCAATCTGTCTTGGCCCTGCCCTCCCTTACAGTCTAAGATGGCCCACCTTCCTTCCAGTCCAGGCCAGCCAGTCTGGAATGTGCTCTGAGGAGCCCCAGGGCCTGAAGTCCCTTGGGGGGACACAGCTTCATCTTTCCAAGAGCAATGTCCCCAGGAGCAGGTGAATATGAAACATCTGCCCAGCTCATCCCATCTGCAGACAGGGTGGGAGTCAGGTTCCACCTTTGACTCCAAGGATATGGAAAGGATTTCCTGAGGGTCTTTCTGGCAGCCCCACCTTCCCTCCCCTAGGGTGAGAGAACAGGTTTCCCTTCCTTTTAGGTGCCAGAGAATTTTCTGGAGCCTAAAGAGCCACATGGGGCCAACCAGATAGCTCAGTGGATTAAAGCACCTGCTTAGGCAGACACAGGGACCGGGGTTAGATCCTCTGGCATGCTGTGCCAGCCCCAACCCCAGGGGCATGCTGAGATGGTGGAGACTGAGATTGGGTAAGGTGGCACATGCCTCTAATCCCAGCATTTGGAAGACTGAAAACAGGAGGATCACTACAAGTCTGATCTGTGTAATGAGACCCTGTAGACCCTGTACTAAATACATTTTAAAAAAAGAAAAAAATCCATGTGGATCTCACATCCTGGGTCCTTGGGAATCCCCACACTCCTCCAGATCCCAGCTCAGTCACCCCACTGGCCAGACCTGGCTTTACCACCCAGCACTAGCTGCTACACCACTGATGGAACTGGAGCCAACATAGGCCAGGTCAGGCAAAGAAAGCCGAGTAGTAGGAACATACATTCCAGCCGAGCCATGGCCCCCCTTCCTGGGGTCCCTAGCTGCCTGGCTCCTGACCCTGGTGCCTAACAGCTCCCTGTCCAGAGGATCTGGTGACACAACTGTTGTAGCCTGTCACTCCACACCTGGGGCCACACACCCAACACGTGTGTATGCACACACAAACACTGAGGCCCCTAGTGAATCCAGGACACTTGCAGGACTTCCCTTCACCCAACTAGATGGGGGTGCAGCTATGACTGACGCCCCAAAAGGCAGAGGCTGGAACCCAGGCCAGAGGTTTGCACTCAATGCTGCTGCTTCCCTTCATGCACTACCCGGCCAGGATGTTTTCCTTCCAACCTCTCCAGGCCCCCAGAAAAACAAACATATTCACCTGGCAGCTGCCTGGCCTCCCACTGAGCGGAAGCCCAGGAAGCGTGCAAAGGAAGAAATAGGTGGGAGAGGCCAGACCTCAGCCCAGGCTTGCCTGACACACCTGTGCAGCAGTCCACGCATGCTGGTGCAGCAGTCCATGCACCCCACATGGGGTTCAGGGTGTGGATGTAGGCAGTAGAGCATTGAGACATGGGTATACATGGATGTGGGGTTTGCACATTGGTTTTAGGTATTTGTGCATAAGTGTTAGGTGTGCATGTTTATTGTGTTGGGTGTTAGGTGTGTTGAATGTGTGTCCATGGATATGTAGTGTTTGTTGGTTGTGATTGTATGGGTGTCTGGTGTATGTGTTGGGAATGTGTGCTTAAGTGTTGGTTATATGTTTTTTAGGTGTGTGGAGGTGTTAAGCATATTTGTGTTTGTTAAGTGGAAGTGGATATTGGGTGTGTTGGTTGGTTGTGTGTGCATTTGAGTCTTCTGTGCTTGTTGAGGTTTGGACTACATGAGTTTTGAGTGTGTTGTATGTTGATGTCTTAAATGTGGGTGTGAGTGCTGAGTTTGTGTGTTGTGTGTGTTGGTTGTATAGGTGTGTGTTATGGTTTGTGTCTAGTTGTACCCCCAAAGCCTACTGCAGTTATGGGGCAGCTTCTGGAATTTGTGATTGATTCATGATCCAGTGCTGGGATTATGAGTGTAAATACTTCTGGGATTATGAGTGTGAGTACACCCAGTCTGAGGCAGACAGCCTGAATGCAACATAGGGGAAACAGACTTGCTCTCTGTTGCCGTTGGTGCTGCTACTCCTCACTTTTGCTCTTGCTGTTTGCTGCCACCATGAACTGCTTTCTTCTGCCATGTGCCACTCTGCCTTGGAGCCAGCTAAAGCTTCCACTAACTATGAACTAAATAAATAAACCTTTCCTTCCTTAATTTTGGGTGTTAGATATTTTGTCCCAGCAACCAGAAAAAAGTAACTGAGACAGTATGTGCGTGTATGTTGGGTGTGTTTGTGTGTGGGTTGGTTGGGTGTGGTGCATGGGTGGGGTGGTCTAATGGGAGCAGCTGATGTGAGGTGACCAAGTCCCCTCCTCAGTAGCAGCAGTGACTTCTTGCCTTGTCACTCAGAGGAAGAACTGGGCAGGGGCAGTGTGGCATAGGGAGGGGAGCTTCAGACAAGATGGAGAGGTACAAGAGGCCCTCCAGCCCTGTGTCCTCTGATGTGAGCATAGTGGCTCTTGGAGTGCTGCACTTTGCCTGTGAAGTGGACCCCTCCTCCTGGCCATTGAAAAAATATCTTCTCACCTTTTACCTCCACCCATCTTCAGGTCAACTGGTGGTGACTCTGATGTTAGAGTTTGTCTTAGTTACTTTTCTCACTGCTGAGACAAAATACTGACACCCAAAATTAAAGGGTAAAAGCTTTATTTAGCTCATATTTTATAGAGGTTTTCAGTCCATAATCCATTGGCTCCAAGACAGTGTGGCATGGCAGAGGGGTTACCATTCATGGAGGCACAAGACAGCAAAAGCAAAGAGAGAGAGAGAGAGAGAGAGAGAGAGAGAGAGAGAGAGAGAGAGAGAGAGAGAGAGAGAGAATGGCCTTTTCCTGTCCCTTACATTGTATCCAGTCTGCCCGGATTAGGACGGTGCCAATCCAGTCAGTGAACTGATGCAGCAATCTCCCATCTTTAATCCCAGCATTGCACTACAAAATCAATCACATACTCTAGATTCAACCACCTCTGGAAAAACTTTATGAGTGCATGGGCCTTTGGGGAGACATCTAGACACAAGCCATAACAGTTCAAGTTTTTCTGTTCTCCTGCACCCCATCTACTGTCTTCTTCCCTACATTCCATGGGACTGTATCC